TATTAGAAACAAGGTAGATTAGCCATTTCACTTTCATATGAATCTTTAGTGTTTCATGTGGCAGTGTTCCAAATATTTTAAAAATAAACTCAGTTGTTCTCTTTAACAAATAGCTTCAAAATCAGAGTGATTTCAAATGCTGTTGTAGTGCATGCTGGATTGTATGTGGTCTCTTATAGAAGGAAATACCTGTATGAACTCAGGGTGGCTTTCTCTGAGATGGTGTGCTCTCTGATACCTAATCTACCTGGGTGCACACTGGCTTTTTCTGTTCAGGGGGAATTAGGTACAATTTTTATTCAGTCATCTACAAACTGAAGAGTGACTGATTCATCAGTTGAACTATATTTATGTATTTATAAATATGTAGATAGAAACTTGCTTATCAAAGCAACAGATTGTAGTAGGCTGTGATACAATCTTTGTAGCTTTAACAGTCTTGCTCTTTACTTTCAGAGACCATGTTACATGGCTTTTCCTGAAAAACTTGCATTTTGGAGTGGTGAAGTATGTGAAGTAAGATGTACCGTGGTCCCATAGGTCCTTTTGCAGTTGCTTGGCGATGAGGAGTGGAGATTTTGCAGATTGCTGTCAGATTTTCAGCCTAGTCACTTAATGGAACTAGGCCTATTACTTAGTCCTACCAGTCAGTCCCTGCTAAGAGCTTATGGACCTTTTTGGGCTCACTTCAGCCACCTTTGATAAAGGCTCTGAAGACACTGATTCATCAGGCTTTGTAGAAATGAATGACTTTACACGACAGAAAATTCAGCATTCCCCCCATCTGAATGTGATGGGTTCAGGTATCGATGAATGTGCTTTGGGAGAGTGATGCTTTCAATGGCAGGACTCATAGAGGACCCTGCCTAATCAGGAACCAAAGAATTAGGTAAAAAAAAGCTGGAAGAAATCAGGGTTGTGGAACTGCTGGTTTCTTCCCATTTTTCTGCCCCCTGGTCCTTCACAGGAACAACACCTAGATGTCCGTAGCAGAAGCAAAACATGATGGGTAAAGGGCTGCGTTCTTCCACTGGTTTCCACTGTGTAAAAAGTGATTTTTTTTTTTTCTAATCTCTAAGGCTTCTTTATCAAGAAGGCAGTTGTGGGTAAAGTGGATCTGGGAGAACTGTGAATTCTTTAGTCTTCTGCTTTAAAAATATATCCCACTCTTTGCCTGGACTTGGCCTCTTAGCCTTGGAGCTTGTTCAGATGTTGGCTTGCGGCACAGAAATACCAGCAGTAGGTTTGAGATCGTTACAGTCCTGTGGCACTCGTTGCTGTTCTGAAAAGAGAAAGAGAGAAGCCTGCGTGTGCTCCTGTAATGAGGAAAGAGGCAGAACAGTGGGTTGTGCAGACAGTAGGTGGTAATAAGCAAAAGCTGATGGCGGGGGAGAGAGGAGAGCGCCTTGTTGTTCTGAACTGCTCTGCCCTTTGAAATCTAGATGTTATTTTTGTTCTGTAAATAAATGATTGCTCAAAGCATGTTTTTTCTCAAGATGCCAATAGAGAAGAACAGCAGCCTTTCCCTTTTTTTCTAAGGTGAGGGGAGAAAAGCAATTATAACTCCCTTCTTCTTTTGAAGATGCTGATAAAAGGAGGTGGGAGGATCAGAGGGTCCCTGTGCCAAAAGAGGAACAACTCCTAAGGTGATAGAAATACATGTTTTTATTTTAAACAAAGTAACTCAACTTCTGCTGCCTGCTGACTTACAAATGTGACCCAATTGCATGTAAAAACTGTTTGCGGGTGGGGGGGAAGGAAACGGTGGCCACAAGAAAGAGAGCAGCTCTGTCTTCAGATGTGTTACCTCCTCGTGGTGCTGGCTGGCTCAGCGCTCGTGTCCGAGGCTACTCTCGGAGCAAGCTCAAAACCAGGGGCAGGCGGGAGGTGGGGACAGTTGAACAGCCTCTCTCCGGTGGTATTGGCTTTTAAAAGCCATCGACTGTGTGTCTGAACCTCAGCGGCGAGGTGCCTCTGCCGAGGATGCAGGCTGAAGGGGTCGGAGGCTTTATTCCACGCCTGTTGGCTTTTACAGGTACCTCCTGGTTGTCTGCAAATAAATCTCTACTAAAGGTATGACCTTTTGGAGAACGTTTTGGAAAGAAGCAATATCGTGTCGGCAGGAAATGAAGAAGGTGTGATTGAGCTCCCTGGGGCGGGGGGGCGGGATGGGGACGTGTGTGTGTAAATTAGTCCTCTTCCCCTCAGTCTTTCTTTTGCAAAAAGCTTAACAAAGTGATATTTTTAAATTTGACCAATTGCTGTGCAATGTTTTCCCTCTGAAGTGTTGCTCTGGCAAAATAAGGACCATGGAGCGGGAGTGAATAGTGTGTCTGCTGTGTTTTCCCATGCTGCAAATGTGTGATATCACGCAACTGTATTCATCAGGCACTTCTGGAAGGGCTGTTCAAGGAGAGAAGCTGTTAACCTCTGCGGGAGGGCAGATAAAAGGTAATATCCCCTTTCCTTGGGCCTGCCCCCCACCAGATATGGTAGTAGCTCTTTTTTCCCAAATTATGGAGGTGAATAACAGCATGAGCTCGAGCTCATGCATGTCTTAGATTGGCGTAAGCTAATTTCTAATCAGGAAGATGCAGCTAAAAGGGGAGGTGTTTCCCCATCCCTGAGGCTGCAGGTCTTTCCCTTGAGTCTTTTTTTCTAGCCCTGGGAAGGCTGATCCAAGCTGCTCGGACGAACCATTTTAGAAGTAATTAAATGGTAACACAAAACAAAGAGCCCTTAGAAGTCTTTGCTTTCTGTTCCCACTTAAAGTATATGATAAGCAAAACACAGAAGCATATGAAATTCCCTTTGGTGGAATAAATGTCATCCGATACAAGAACGGTAAGAAAGGCTTGAAATAATGACCATTAAAATGTAAAGCACCAGTCGGTATAGCATGACATACAGCTGCGCAGGGCTGAGATTTCGTCTTTCATTATGCAAGGAAAGACATTAACATACAAAATCCCTTATTTCATGGGCTCTTGTAGGGAAACACTAAAAAGCAATTATGTGGAAAGTTCAGCTCTGAAATATATTAGGGCCCATCGGTATGCGCCACGCAAAACAAACAAGAGGCTCCTACCTGCTGTGGCCTTGGGTGAGAGCTGGGGGCACAGACCTTCTGGCATGGATCGGCCCCAAACTATTTGTATTTGCCTGCTGGATGAGGCCAAAAACCCCAAGTCGAGCTGTGGTGAAGGTGCCAGGCATGCTGAAAAAGCCCGTATATGTCACGGCAGGCTTTGAACAGCAGAGTGCCCTGGCCGAAGGGGAATATATGCTGCGCTCGGAAGATGCAGCAGTACAACTACAGCCGCTGAGTGTGGTTCTGGGTGGCAGGGATGGCACTGGATCTGCCTCACCTTGTTTTTTCTGTCTTCACGTAATAGGTGTGACCCGAATGTATGTAGAGCATCAGGCTTTCCTGCAGGACAAGGCAGGAGTTGGGCATATCGGCTGTGAGCACAGCCAGGAGCTGGGGCATCCTTCCAGAAGATGGGTCTCTTCCCAAGGTAGTGCCTTGCACCTGCACACAGGTCTCATTTAAGACTCGAGAAATGTTTAGATGACGCAGAGCAGGAACCTCCGATGCTTGAGGCATCTCAAGAGCTGGCAGCGTCGTCAAGCTGGGTTGCTGGTTTGGGCTCACAAGCCAAAATTCCTGTGACGTGTCCCATGTTGGTAGTGAAGTTTCTGCTTTGTGTCTAGCCCATACGTACCTAACTCATAGTGTCATTTTTCTTTTTCTTTGAAGCTGCTGACTGGGGCTGGCTTGCTCTGCGGATGCTGGGGTCGGAGGGAGCAGGCGAAAAGCAGCAGCTCTGCGGTTTCACGGTTAATACCCAAACCGAGCAGGAGAAGCCTCGCTGCCTCCGTTCCCAGGACTTGCATGTCCTTGGCTGTTCCTTATGCTCACGCAGGACTTCTCAATCCCCCCAGGCAAGAGCAGGTACCTAGCGAGGAGCGTTTGCATTTAAAAAAAATAAAATCGAAGCAATCTTCGGCATTACTTCTTGAGCTTTCTGCTTCTCTCTCTTGCAAGCACTGGGAGGCACCAGTGTACAAGCTAATGCTGCACATCCAGGCTGGGAGGGAAGCCAAACAGCTGACTTGGGGAACCTGCCAATTTTTTTACCTGCTTGTACAAATGCTACAGTTCTCCCAGTAGATTTTGCTGTGGGATTCATGAAAAGGAGATAAAACACCCTGGAGACAGTAGGAGGATCACTTCAGGGCTGCAAATCCACTTACCTAGCTAGGTTGGAACCAATTTGTCAAAAGCGAAGTCACTGCAGCTTCTCTTTTTTTTTTTTGTCTCGCTAGTCTTTAAGGAACAAAGCGTCGTTCTTTGTGCTAAATATTGACGCTCCTGGTCTGAGCATCAGGGCTTTGTTCTCGGCCTGAGGGATTCAGGAAGAAACTGGAGGGTTTCTGAGAGAAGAAACCAGCAGCTTAATTAGCGAGAAAGTTTGGAGGCATACATGCATACATTTCTGGTACTTAATCCATCTGCAGTAGCTGCTTGGAAAGTTAAGTCAGATGGAAAGGGATTTGAGGCAAAACCTGGTTTCCAAAACTCTGCTAATAAACAGGCAAAGGATGCTGCCACCTTTTGCCGTGGAGTGGGAAGGTGGGTACCTGGATGGCCGTGGGCAGCTCTGGCGGTGGTGGGGGGAGAGGACACGTAGGGTTGCTTCCAGGCAGGACCTCAAACCTGGCCGTCCGTCCTGGGCTGTATCCAGTAAGCCGGTGCTGGGCAGAGAAGCCTGAGCTGGAGCTAACTGAGGTCACCAGGCTGCTTCCAGTGACCAAACTGGGTTTGAGAGATGCTTTGCTGGTGCTGAAAGAGACCTTGCAGCAGCTCATCAGTCCTTCCTCCTTCCCAGCAGTGTATGCTCTTGTGATTAATTTGTTTTTATAACGACCACATCTTCATCCTGCCTTTTTTGGTGGCAGCGGTGCTGATTTCTGTATTCCCTCCTCTTCAGTGGCAGGGGAAATTGGACTGGCGTGAAGAAGAAACTGGACCTACCTCACCGCAAGCCTACACATACCAGCACGCTGGAGAGGGCAGCATGGAGACGTAAAGGATAAATGGAAGAAAAGGAGGCAGGGAAGAGCAGGAACCAGGAGAAGTGGAACTGCAGGCTAGATTGCACCCTGGTTACATCTGCTCCAACGTCATCCTAATCTCCAGGGTGCTCCCCAGGGCACATGGAGGGAGAGGTGACACTGGGTGCTTCTTCCTGGAGAAATCTGTGCGTTGGCAAGAGGAGGTGACACAGCTCAGTGCCGAGGCTGGGCCAGGTAAACAGGATGGATTTTGCCCAGCTTAATCCCACAGTAAATTTGCTGCTGTTGAGGGGTGGAGGGGAGCTGCCTGGCTGGGGAGAAGAGTCGTGTTGGTATCTACCTGAAGTTACCTATGTCTGATATCACTGTGTGGTCAGGAATAGAATTCTTTCCCAGCTAAAAATACTAGGCTTTTTCAACAATTTCTTCCCCTATAGTTTGGTGGTTTTTTTTTTTTTTAAATCTCTTATGGATCACTGCATGGCGAGTGACCGGCTGTCGTGCACCATGTCTTCACTGGCAAAGAGAGGGGCAGTTCTCAGATGGTACCAGGTACCATCCTCCTGCCAAGGGGATAGCTGCAGTTTTAATGCTTGTTAGACAAATCCCTGAACTCCCAACTGTGCTCATGCACCGTATGGATTATACAGGTTTACCTGCAAGCAGCTTGCTTGGAAACCACCTGCCAGCTTGCTTTGAAAGGATCGTGACCATAATTGGGGATTGCTGGCTGGAGCAATGGCAAGTCAGGCAATAGCAGAGATGTTGCTCCTGCCTGGATGAGGAACAATGAAGGTGCCTGAGCTCCCTATAGGAATTATTCCTATTGGGAACAGCCATGGGAGGCTCTCTGTGAGCCACTGTACCACCCGACATCCTCTGCAGTGGCTTGGACACAAGCGCTGAACCAAACTCCTGGGTCACCGACCAAACATGACCATTTTCTATCGTGACACAGCTCAGACAGCTCCCAGCTGTTTGCTCACCCTTGTTTAACCAGGAACAATAAAACCCATAATTGCCAGTTGATGTCTAAACAAGAATTCAGCTCTGGAAGGGAATTCGCTACAAACTGGAATGAAAGCCGTGCACGCTGCCACTTCCCAAAGGCATTTTGGAGGGATATGCCTGGATAGGCACCTCCACTCTGCAGAGGAATAAGTTAGCTGGAGGGCTGCCAAGCAAGCCCCCACCTTTGCCACTGTTTGGAAACTGGATTCTCCACCATTAGAGGCTGATTTTAACCTCTTCTGCATTGGCAGATCCTTCTCTGCACCTCTACTTGCTGCTGCTGAGATGGGACCTAAAATACTGAGTCCAGCTTGGGCTCTCTAGTCCAAAAGATGTGGAGAAACTGGAGAGGATCTGGTGAAAGGACATCATGGTGGCCAGGGGCAAAAGCCTGTGATCTACAAGGACAGGTCAGGGAGCTGAGTTTGTTTAGTCTTGAGAAGAGTCTGAGGGACAATCTGATGGCAGCCTACAACAACCCTTGGGAAAACTGCGGAGATACAGATCTAAACTCTTCTTAGTAGCAGAAAGTTTACATGGAGCAACTTGTTGCAGCTTGAGAGGTTCAGGTTGGACACTAGATAAAAATCCCACTGGGAGGGAGGTGCAGCTCTGGAAGAGGTCACATAGGTTGGGGTTTCTCCATCCCCAGGGGCTCTCACATCTTGGCTGGGCAAAGCCATAACTGACGTGAACTACTGTTGGTTTCAGTCCTGCCTCGAGTAGAAGGTTGGACTAGATGTCCCTTCCAACCACCATCTGTGTGATTTTATGACCCTAGGACATGCTGTGGTTTAGGGTTCTGGATGCTGCTTGGCTGCTTCACAAAGGTTAGCTAGTTTGCATAATATTAAAAAAAGTCCCAGCCAACAACCCTAAATCAAATTGACCTCCCTGAAGGTGCTCTCACTCTAAATCAAACATTAATGTAATTTAGAAAGAGCAGGAAGGCTTCACAGAGTAATTTGAGGACATTGTTATCATGTAACATGGGCATCATCTGGCTGTTCTGTGGCTGTGAAACATATGACCTTATGCATGCAGAACAGCCGGCGTTAACGGCAGCGGGGAGCGATTTAACCTTGTGTTGGAATGGTGCTGACTTGTAGCATGTCAGATTTATGACTTACGATACGATCTGAGGGGATTGCTTTTGCTTTAATGGTCTTGCTTCCTGTTTAGAAAGGTGACCTTAGGGCCTGCTGGTAATGAAGCTGCATAATTACACATAGATTGTTATTTAAACTTGCCTCAACTATTTAGAAAAAAAAAAAACCAACACTTTTTTTTTTCCTGGGTGTTGTCCCTACATTAATTTCCCTGATTATCAGGAATCTGACTTGACGAACTTCCAATTTACATGTTTATAGTATGTCTCTGGGAGGGTTACAATAACCTGGGCAACACCAGTGCCTTCCCCAAGTGGGATTCAAGGTTGTTGTGGTTTATGCACGGGAGAAACGTGGTGGTGTTCCTATGCCCCGAGGTAATTATTTTTCTCTGATGGTTGAGACACATCAGCCTCCAAAAAAGACCCAAACGTGCTTTGTACCAGAGACCTAAGTGACTCTCTGGGTGTGTAAGGGTACGACACACAACTGGAAGCACTGGCCTCCCCTGGATGCTATCAGCGCTACCTTCATCCCTACTCTTGGGAGCTCTTACTCTCCGGAGGACTTCTAGGTATTAATTGTGACAGCAAAGAGCGAGCCTCTGTCTTCTTGAATAAAGGTGGCCTGTGTGGTGGGGACTGTGTTGCTTAGTCTCAGTTTTATCGGGAGACTTATCGTCCGAGCTAAGAGGACGGTGCTCACCTCGGTGCCTCGCGTTGGCACTTCTCCCAGCCACGAGTCAATGCAGCTGCCTTCTCCCTCTGTCCGCGGAACGCTTGCGCAGCCCCGAGCCACCACCAGCAACTCCTGCTTCGTTATAATATTACTGACACCGCGTGACTAAGTGATTTCGGGTTATTCTTTAAACCCTGGTGCTTCCCAGCTTGTGCTGAGTCTTGGTCGCCTGCTGCTGTGCTGGTTGGTGCTTGACAAACAACCATGTAGATCTTCACCTCTTTTCATTACCTAGGAGGCGAGCGAGTCAGATTAGTACAGAAACGAGGTTTTGATTTGATTTGATTTTTCTGGTCATTTGAAAGCTCAATGAATTGTTTCTGTTTGCTGGCACATTACTGAGCTGATCTGATGGCAGGGAATGATGCTTATTAAAGAGGTGACCCATAAACACAGGAATATGTGTTGATCATAATGCCTGTTGGGTTTAATTTGGACAACCCTTAGTTCTTTATCACTCTTCCCTCTGATAAATATTTTGGAATGTGTCAGGACAAAGCACAATATTTTTGCTGGATATTTTATTCAGTAAAAAAAACAGGAGATTTTATAATATGAACTGAACTCTTTCTGTTGTTTTAGTCACAAACAGAAAAATCCAAACTTAATTTTTTTAAAAAACTTGAAATGCCGCAGCTTTCATTCAAACTGATACTTCACTGTCAGCTACAATCTCAATAAAAGTCAAAAGGTAAACATCCTGAACATGAAATATTTTGTTAAACTCAAGACAGATTTTGTCCTGGAAGGCCTAGAAACAGCAACAGTAATGATCACAGCAGTAAGCTGTGATCAAAGAGTTTGATCACATAAAGATTTTAAAGTCAGGGGTATAACTGGTCTCAACCCCTGTTTTGACAGTCTCAAGCAGTTAAAATTCAGTGTCCAGTCTTGTTTGGACCCCATTGTCTTTTAAGATCGGTTTAAAAATTGAAATACTTAATAAATTAATGGTTGCAACTAAAGTCATCCATTGTTGGCTGGTCAGCTGAATAGTACGCAAATCCTTTGATGTACTGAGTAATTATGGGCTTCGGTTGGTTAATCATGGTACCTAGTGTGGCTTCAGACACACTTGGGTATGGGGGCAAAAAAGGAAAAGGGCTTGGAGAACATCTTTGACCCAGGCTAATAAGCAGCTCTTCCCCCTGGATCATATCTGTCCATCTGTCACTGCCTGGGAAGAAAATCAATCCTTTTTGTAGCAATGAGCATATTCAATAACGGAAAAGGTCATGGCATTATAAACAATGTGGTGATGCTTTAAATGAGTGATGGGCTACGGCTTCGCCTTTTAAAACCTGCATGTTTGTATTTCAATTTGTCGTCAGCAGCTAAGGCATCTCTTGGAAACCCACCTGCCTCAGCGTGTTGTGCTGTCCAGGAAACCTCCGGTGCAAGGACTCCCTTCCCATTGGAGTCCATTCTATTTATTCACATCCAGAACAGTCTTGGGCAGGTGGGACTGATTTTCTAGCTAGCAGAATATTGTCTGTTATTTGCAATAGAACAGGCGTTAACGTATGTCATTGGCAGAAGCAGATTCTCAAGGGACATCTTCTCTGAGAGTCTTGGCACCATTATGGGCACAAGATAGATGGCCACAGTGTTTGGAAAAATAAAAATATATGTTCTTTTTGTGAGGGCTGTAAGGTCTCCAGATTTTCTGGCAATGCGGATCACATTAGGACCAAAGATTACTAAATCGGGGGTTTATTTCTACTTTGGTTCATGTAGGCACATCAGAGGTAGGGTATAACCTAGCTAGCTTAGTGCTGTGGTGGCGTTGAACTGAAGGCTGCTGCAGGATTTTCTTGGTTATTTGGGAAGTAAGGTCAAGGTCAACTCTATATTGAGTTCCAAACCTGAGTTCCACACCAGCTGGCTGGGGAGCAGCTCTGTAGAAAAGGACCCGTTTATTTTAGCGGACAAGTTGAACATGCATCAGCAATGACGAAGGCCAACAGCATCCTGGGCTGTACTGGTGAGAGTGTAGCCAGCAGATGAAGAGAAGGGATGGTTCCCTTCCAGCTGGCATTCGTGAGACTGCATCTGGAGCGCTGCGTTCGATTTTGGACATCCCAGTAAAGAAAGACATCAACACACTGAAGCGAGTCCAGTTGAGACAAGATGATTATGGGGCTGGAGCTCATGGCATAGAAGGAGAAGCTGAGGGAACTGGGTTTGTTCAGCCTGAATAAGGGGTTGCTAAGGGGAATGTAATTGCTGTATTCAACTAGTTAATGAGTGGTTATGGAGAAGACAAAGCCGTATTCTTATTGGAGATGGCCAGCAAAAGGATGAGAAGCAACAAACAGAAGTTGCAACAGGGGAAATTCCAACAATATATAAGGAAATATTTTTCACCATGAGAGCGTTCAAACACTGCAACAGGGATCTGGAGAAGCTGTGTAATGTCCATCCTTGCAGATACTCAAAACTGGACTGGACAAGGCTGGGCATCCTGGTAAATATTGAAGCTGGCCCTGCATTGAGTGGGGGAGTTGGGCTAGAGACGTCCTGCGATTCCTTCAAACTAAATTGTTCTATTATTTTGGTAACTCTACTTTACAGTAACAAAAATGTAAACCTACTTTATGACAGAGTCAAGACTGAATATGGGGGAATAGAGGCAAAAAATGGGAGCTGTGGTGTGATGGATGCAGAGATTTGTGCACAACTGAAAGACGAAAGAGCTGTCTAGAGTCCCTGAGAGCAATTGCTTAGATGGCTATGAATGGCTCAATAAAAAGGATCTCAGCTGTGAAACTGTGACATTATACAAGGTTACAAACAAAGGGAAATGGGCAAGCCAGGCAAGTCCCAAAGATTTTAATTGGCCTGTGGGTGCTGAATGCAACAGACTGGCTTTAGAAGCAGCAGTAACTTTGGAGTACAAAACATTTACACCAAGGATCAGTGAGCGCTGTTTATGATGGCATTTGAGAGCTCGCTAAAGGGTCACAGAGATGAGGGAAATTATCGCAGGTCCCACATAGCCTTTGGCTGGTGGGAGCGTTCACCACTCTTTGCACCAGTAGAAAAGAACAGAGGATTTAAGTGTAGTGAAGATGGGAGGAAAGCTGAAACCTGAGGAACACCAAAAGAGGACCTGGAGTCTGTATGTTTATTGAGGAACCTGAGCAGCAGGATTAATTTCAGAGCACCTTTGAGAATTCAGCCCCTTTCTTTAGGTACATAGGTTACATTTGTGGACAGATTTCTAAGACTTATCTTACTGAACCCAGCTTACAACATTACTCAATTTGATAATGTTTTTCCAATTTGAAGACTTAAAGGGTTCCCATTTCAGGGTGACCAATCTAGGTCTCAAAGGAGAGTCCCATAAGCCAAAGAGATTGACAGCCTTTGACACATTTGTGGAGCTGAAAGGACCTGTGTTCAATTCCTGCTCTAAGGATTGCCTATGTGACTCCGGGCAGGTCACTTAGGGCTGTGCTCAGGCTCCGTCAGACGGGCACAGAAATCAGTCGTTGTGGCTAGCAGTGTGTCTGAGCTCAAGAAAGCGAATTGGAGCATCTGCTCTCCAGGCTCAGCTCCCCTTGAGACCCATAGATCCGACACCAATGTGAGGCTCTTGTCGTCTACACAAAGGATACAGGGATTTCTCACTTTCTCTGTGTCTTGCTTCCTCCTATGTAAAACAGCTGCAGAACTTTTTCATTGGGTTATTCTCTGTCAAAGAAGAGTTCAGTGGGAACATGCCTGTTCTGATGAAATTTCACTCAAAAACACCAGACAGAGCATTTTGAAGCTTCTAGTTGGCCAATAAAAGAAAAGTGAAGTTGAAGTCTTAATACAACATTCCCTTTTATTGCTGTGGGAACATTTGAACGACCCTGAGTAGGATTTATTTAAAAAACAAAACAAAACACCTTAGCTTTTTTTTTGCTTCTGTTGTGGAACAGCAATATTTTTTCAGGCACATTTGAACGCAAAGGAATAATCTGATCTCCAAGCAGCTATTCCTTTCTCCTATCCTTTGTTTCTTCTTTACGTAAATGCAGGATTTTCAGGAGTGCCTTTGAACTGTGTGAACTTAGGTCAGGTAAGTTTTTATTACATATACCATATTTGCCCAAAGAGAGGCCACACTTTATGATCGCAGCCTGGAGTCTGCAAGCAACAGATTGCAGGGTAGCCGGGCATAGTTTCAGTGCCCAAAGGCTTGAGGGCAAAATCCACAGCCGTTGTGTCAGCAAATGTGGTTTGTACAGCACCTTGCACAGCCAGACCCTCTTCTCAGCAGTGCCTCCAGTTGCTGCTGCATTAAAATCACTGTTATTTCCCCCAGCAACTTATTCCCCTAAAGAGAAATCACAGCAACAGCAGAGCATGTAGATCCACTGGAGGAAATTCTCTCCATGGCTAAAGGAGCTGTTTCTTCATTTCCACCAGGTTAGGACCTGAATGGTGGTTTCCTTTAACCCGTGAGAATCAAGTTAAGTTGGAATTTCTTGAGAAAAGCCGCCTTGTTTAATCTCTTCCTCTCCCTTTTTATTGTTTCATATAAAATCTTACTGGGCTGCATTTGCCATAAACCTCCCCAGCAGAGGAGTAATTACATTTATTGGAAATGCTTCTTGATCACTTATTCATTTACCAGCTGCTAAAGTAAAATGAACTGGGCAAAGTGCCACTGGAGAGTTGGATTCATAAGCTGGAGAAAGCAAATGAAACAACTGCTCAGTGTACAGTTGCTTTCCCTCTCCAGCAATTCATTATCCTCCTGCTCAGCTGATTTAGGAAGGTAAAAGGCAGTCAGGATGGCAGCATGTGATACTTTTTAGCATGAGCATAGCTTTGGGGCGGCCAAATTTACCTTTGGCTGCACTATAACTGGCACAACGAATACCCTAACTTTGTAACTTAAATGTGATGTAATGAATTATAACAGTAATGAAACACTTTGTTCTTATATCTTGGTTACTTTCAGTCACTCTTATTAGCGTTGCATTGTCACTGACGCATTTTCATACTCCCTGTCCTCCTTTTCCCTCCCACTATCCCCGTATCTGCTTTCTGGACCCCAAAATCAGCATGAAAAACAACCAGCTCCAAATCACCACACGCAGAAAACCTCCTGTCATGGTTTAACTCCAGCTGGCAATTAAGCACCACACAGCCACTCGCTCACTGCCCCCTCAACCCCGGTGGGACGGGGGAAAAGAATCGGGAAAAAAAAAGTAAAACTCATGAGTTGAGAAACAGACAGTTTAATAGGACAGAAAATAAAGGGAAAATAATAGTAATAACAATAACAATAATAACTATAATAGAATATACAAAACAAGTGATGCACAATGCAATTGCTCACCACCCGCTGACCGATGCACAGCCAGTCCCCGAGCCACGGTCTCCCCTGGTCAACTCCCCCCAGTTTATATACTGGGCATGACGTCATATGGTATGGACTATCCCTTTGGCTCGTTTGGGTCAGCTGTCCTGGCTGTGTCCCCTCCCAACTTCTTGTCCACTCCCAGCCTCCGCTGGCTGGGCAGTAGGAGAAGCTGAAAAATCCTTGACTTAGTCTAAACACTACTCAGCAACAAGTGAAAACATCAGTGTGTTATCAACATTCTTCTCATACTGAAACCAAAACACAGCACTATACCAGCTACTAGGAAGAAATTTAACTCTATCCCAGCCAAAAGCAGAACACCCCCATAGCACATATAGATACCACTGACACCTTCAAACCCACTGACCACCCAAACCCCACCAAAGTGCTGTGCTGCTGAGGCCATTTGAGTTGGGGAAGCCACCACATTTCATTGTACAGAGACAACTTGTGGGACCCACCTCTCTGGTCTGCAAGGGAAATCCACTCAACTGCTTGTCCGGAGACATAGATCTCCCCTTCAAAATGAGCTGCCTGAACATCCAACCAACCTTTGCTGCAATGCAAAGCAGGAAGGCCCAGCAGCAGATGACTCTCAGATGTCTACGTGTGCGTCTGTGTTTTCAGCATATCAAACTACGCTAGGGCTGGGGCCAGAAAAGCATTAAAGAATTATCCTCACAGAAGAACATGCCCTAAAAGAAGATTTCACTGGAAAGATCTCCTAAAAGTCTCCTGATGCCTCCTCACACAGTTTAGAGATGTCCCATGGACAGTGCAGGCTCAGGAGCTCGGAGAGGAGGAACCAAATGCAAAGCTTATCTATACATACCCATGAGAAACGTACCAGTACAGGCCTGCCAAAATCCACCAAGTCCTGCCCAAGCACACGCCAGAAAGGGAAAGATTTTGTTCAGAGCACCAAGTACTGCCAGAGACCCCGTGAAGATGAAAAAAACAGCCAGAATGAGCCAGATGGGCAAAATAGTACAACCAGAAACGCTCCGGTGCCCACGATAGAATATTTTTCAAGGCATGACCCTTTTGTCTCTGATCTCTCAATCTTCATCCCCAGGGAAGACCTATAAAATCTGTTGAAACACGAGCCTATCAAGTAAAATATATAAATCTACTAGGTGCGGAAAATCAATAGACATTGATTTTATGGTATATTACTTCCCCCTTCCCCCCCATACTGTATCTCATTCCCCCTGGCAGTGGCAGGCAATAAATAATTAACTACATTCCTACTCTCTCCGTACCCATCCCATCATTTTGTGTCTCATCAAGGCTAATAAGCTTATAGCCTTACCTGAGGTCTGCAGGTGCTAACTACTTACTTCTCTCAAGGTTCCTAAATGTCCAACGTAATTAGATTTGGAGCATTTCCCCTTATCTTATATTTAGCTTCAATATTTACGTTTTGGTTTCAGTCTGAAGGAGGAACTGTATGTTCAGAAATTTTTCTTTTTTTTCAGGTATGATGGTTGGTCTAATAAAAAGTGTGATCTCACCCTCTTTGGCCCTGTTTAACACATGAAGGGAAGGAACTGGGTGGTGTATCTCTAAAGACTAAGGGAGACTTCTCTGATTTTAAATTTAAAAGTTGCTTGATAGTCTTTGTATCGGTTAGCATCTTGGGTGCTCTTTGACAATGTGGATGCATTGCTTTTTTATCCAGAAATTTAGTCAATATCTGTCAGTATGAAGATTGCTTATTAGACTCATAAAATTCAAACAGAGTGTGATAGTACACATCCTAGACAAGCAGACACTGGAACTGGGCTGATAAAGGCTTGAATTACTTGAAGAGAGCTTAACATAATTGCTGGTTTTCTTCTACAAAGAGATTTCTACAAAGCATATAAAAGCGACGCTTAAAAAGAAATTATTTGTGGCATAAGTGGTGTGATAAACATCTGAATATTAATGTGGTTCTGGTAAAGAGCCATGTAAATTTGTGTCTTTGAGTGTTTGTTTTCCCTAATTTAGGAATACTGAGATTCGGTTGTCTGAATATCAGTGTCTAATGTCATTTGAGGTGCTCTTGGGTTTCCTATTTGGTTCCGTGCTGCCAGCCCAGGAGGGTTTGGGTCTCCTGTATGTTGTCTTCCAGTCCTGTGTGGACATCTCAGATCTCCCAACATTGCTTAGATGTCACTAAATGTCTGCGTTTAGGCAAATGAGTTGAGCCCCGTGTATCAGAACCTAAATTGTCTCTTTTCTAAAGTTTGGCCTTTGAAAGACATCACCAAGAGAAATGTTCTGCTGAAGTCCCAGATCTTCTGTCCCGGGACAATGGATGGGGAAAGGAGCCATCTCAGCTGGGTCAGGTGGAACCACTGCTCCTTTTCGGAATGGGACAGAAGGGACATTTCAAACTCCAGGCGGTCGCTGTGTCCTCAAAGCCCTTTGAGACCCCCAGGCAGGGTGCTCTGTTCCTGGTGCCGTTTTGAACGTTGCAGATGTGCAGTGATTTGGTCGATGCCTGGGCTCACGGAGAGCGCAGCAGGATCTGTGATAAATTGGCTAAAACATCCATTCCTGTGGCAAACCAGGAATCTTCTCCTGCGGTGTCACCGATATTTTACCTAGACCATTTTTAATCATTCTGGGGGATGTTTCAACTTTATTCTTTGGCAACTCGGTTTTACAAGTCCCTGCTTTGTGGCGATTGTGGTCTGTGTGGTGCACTTAAGTCCAGGACACTGATGATAAAAGCAGCTCCATTGGTGAGAGACTTTCTGCTTGTTCCTACAGGTGCTCACTGTATTATTTCTTTTTGCATACTGAACTCTTTTTATATAGATACCTGTGGCCATCCACATCAGCACTTTGGAGGTACATGTTCATCTTCTCTGCTTGGATGGCTGCTTTATGGCAAGATAATGGTCTACTGCATTTAGCAGACCTCTGTAAGGTATGGAGGGAGCCCAGGGTGACACGAAGACATGCGTGCGGAGACATATATGCACTGTGTAGGTATGTAAAGATACAGAGATACGTATCCATGAGATGGTATGTTTGTGTGCATGTGTGGAAGAAGAGGTTGTTGTGTCCATATTTCACAGGTCCATCATCTTGCAAATCTGACATGGCCAACATAAACTTGCTCTTTCTAGCCAAGAAAATATCTCCAGTCTCATTCACATCTTGGCAGTAACTGGGCATGTGATTTTATTGGGGGAATTTAATTAATCTCTGTCTTTTCTGTTGAGCTGGAGCCAACCTGAAGTCACGTTTATTTGAAAAACTTCTCTCTTGAAGTCTGGTTATTTTTCCAGCACCTTCTGTTAACCTTTCACTTGTCTGTAACGGTTGTAGCTCAGGTCATGTCCTGTTTTCATGCATCTAAGTTAAAAATAAAGGGCTGGAATCTCAGCTGGGATAAACCAGTAACACATACTGACAGTGATGGGGCTGCTGGGATTTACACCTGCATAAGTGAGACATCCAGCTGGATGGGGCCAGCTTTGCAATACTCTGTGACAGATGAACTCTCTCTGTTGAGACTTTCCCACCAGCAGCGGCTCAGCAG